CGGATTTACCGGCGGTGCCTCGGAAGGCGCGGACAGGTGGGTTTGCGTGGTCGATGGTGGGATGGTGGAGTGTGTGTGTGTGTGTGTGTGTGTGTGGAGGTTGAGGGAGAGGTAGGAAGAGGTGATGGAAAGGAGTGCGGTGCGGTGCGGTGCGATGAGGGGGAGGGGGCGGGTAGGAGAGGAGAGGCGAGGAGGGAGGGTGGCTGATGTGGTGGAGTGGTGGTGGTGCAGCGATCGGGAAGCGTCCTGCGGAGGTATCGATGGCAGCAGTGGCGGAGTCGGGTGGTGGTGGTGGAGGAGGCGGGGCGGGTGCGGTGGGAGGTCCGTCGAGCACACCGTCGTCGTTATCGATGGTGTCGTTAAAGCCAGGGAAACGGACGGTAGGGAATGGGGTGTGGGTGGGGGTGGGGGTGGGGGTGGTGTGTAGGATGTTGGGTATGGATGGCGGGGAGGAGAGTGGGAGGACATGAGGACTGAAGGGTGGGGTTGGGGGGTGATGCAGAAACCAAGCGGGTCGAAACAGCGGAATCACAAGTTGCCCAAGGTAAGTAGACACGGTCGGACTGAATGGACACACATATTTGAATTATTGAGGAGCTTGTTTCAATGTGGAGTTATAACTTGGTATTTGTCGTAGTAAAGTTGGGGAATAGATTTAATATGAGTTGCAGACTTGTGTTAAGTCAAATATCGGTGATTGATCAGAGCCTTATTGGCTGGGGTCGCAGAGCGTTTTCGGAGTTTGATTAGTTTTTACGCTTCTCGGACAACCTTATTCATTGTTCATGGTTAGTTCCTTCCGTTGGCAGCTGTAATGTAGGCATGAAATGTGGTTGACATTGTGATGCGGTTGATGTCGGGATGAGTGAATGTTTTATTTCTCTATTGAATAGTTTTTTGTTTATGTTGGTGGAACTGTGCAGGTTACGACTCCATCTCTCGTGTCGGAGCAAGAAGTGGAAGTGGCGGAGGCCCTGTTTGACCTGGCAAGAATGTTCACGCAGCCTGCTGCAGCTGTAGTGGAATCGAAGCCTGAGCCGAGAGTGATACATAGTGATTTGAAATCGGAAGCAAAATTGGAGAGGAAAATCTCAAGTGGTTCTGGGAGCAGCCTACCACCTCACCCTAGCAATGGACCCGCGGTTTCCTCGTCGGTTTCGGCTGCGGGTCCTGCAGCAGGTGCAGCTGTTGCGGGAACTGTGAGGAGTTCCTCACCTGTTTCGGCTTCGGCCGCGTCACCGATGTCTTCACCTCCAACAGGGGCTTCGTTTGCAGAGGGTATGCATTATTCTTTAGTAGTCCTATCAGTAATACTTGCAGTTCGAGTAGCAGCGGATGAAGGTAACAGCGTGATTGTCTGTTGCTGGATGTGGTAAATTGGAGTTGTATTGCATGATTTGGATGCGAGGCTTAGCGTGCAATTCCGAACCGGTTATCTTATATTTTCTAGAAACCGTGATGACTAATTGGGAAAATTTAATGTTCTTCTACTTATGCTTGTGATTGTGATCTTGTTCAGTCACGAAGAGGAAGCGTCCTCGGTTGAGAACTCGAACAGACGACGGTGGGTCTCGGCCGAAGACGGGTGCGATGACAGCGAGTATCGCATTAAGTGCTGTCCAGGTGAAGGATGCGAATCAAAGCTCAAGCCAGGGACCTACTGCGGAGAGAGGCACTGTGAAATTAGAGGGCAACGTTTCTGTGACACCCATTGTTTGCGCGATCTCTAACAACGTGGCAGAAACAGCGAGCAGCGCACCCAATGTCGCGGTCGCATCGAGTGGCGTGGCTGCCACTGTTACGGCATCCCGAGGTGGTGTAGCGGATGTATCGACCCCTCGGACTGATAACAATGGTATGGAAAAGAAGGTTACGCTATTGGAGAAGACTATTACCCAATGTAATGGTGAAGTGGAAGCTCCAAGCTCTAATTTACTGGAGAAAGGAGTTGAAGGGTCTTCGGTTCGAGAGAAAAAGATTGGGATGAGCGAATGTTCTGGTTTTGGAACAGGCCCGAACACATCGGTGGATGTTGCACTGAGCGCGAGTGTTATTGCAGAGGAAACAATTACGAAGACGGAGCTTGGCAAGAGGTGCATACTTTAGCTGAGTCATAGCAATAGTATTGTTGTTATTGTCATTATCTTTTGTAGGAATGTTTAGTTAATTTGTGTATCCTGCTGATTGTGTGTCGCTTCTATTGACAGGACTCCTGAACTGGCAGCGGATATAGGTCGACAACCAAAGCGAGAAATAGACCTGATGGTAAGTCCAGTGTTACGTTTGTAGTGTGAGATCACTAATGGCATGGTTCGAATGGTATTTCAACAAGCTAATCCTGACATAATTACTTTTGGATAATTCAGGTGGCTCCAAGTAATCTTGAAGATGCTTCGAGCAGTGAGAAATACTGTGAAGGGGAGGTAGGAGATGTTCGTGAAGCAACTGAGAAGCCTGCGGTATGTTGGAATGCATTTAGCTGATAATAATTGGCTTGAGAATGGAACTTTGTACTTGGATGTAAGGATTTGTGGTGATGACATGTGGTATTTAGGTGTTTGGCCAGGTTGATTTGGCAATTGCAGTGAATGTGGACAGCAGTCGGGCTGAAACAAGACAACACACTGAAGAGTCAGATCTTGCCGAGAAGGAAAAAGCGAAACAACTCAAGAAAGACGAAGCTAAAGACAGGGAGCAGGAGTTGGAACGTAGTCGTGCCGAAAATGACCGTCGGCGAGAAGCTAACATTCAGAGAGAGTCGGCAAGAGAGTTGTCGAAGCAGCGAGCAAGGGAGATGGAAAGAGAGTTCACGGAAGCGATAAAGGTTGCTACGCAAAAGTCGTCCAATACAATCAAGGGCGAAAACGAAAGGGTTCAAAAGGCTGAAAAAGCAGGTGTGCATGGTCCCTTTGTAGAGTCCTAACTTGCTTTTAATTATTGCGAACAAAGATGACATGCCTATACACTGTCCCATGCGTGTACAATTGCTACCTTTGTAACAAAGACATCTAAAAAGAACTTAAAAAGTAATTGAAGTATCTCGACATTGTGAAGTAGTTTGGTAGTGTTCAGACGCAGATTAAGACCTGGAATAACTATACTAAAAGTTGCTCTCAATACCTAGTTTCCTCATATCCATACCTCAACTCACAATATTAGGGCTGCAATGTGTGTGCTACAGGACCCACTGGGTGCTTTTTGGCCATATTATCGTTTCAGTGCTTGGAATTGCCTTCCACTTTGACAATAGACATTTTTTAACCACGCACAATTCTTGACAGGGTTAGGTCCTTCAGCCACTACGTCGACAGTATCTGTCCCTGCTCCTCCAATTGCTATAAGTTCTGCAGCTACTGGGCGCGCACATTCAGCGGTTTCGTCCAAATCTGTGGGAGTCCTGGGCTGCACCGCAGAAATCACTAAGAGCATCCCTGGAAGTTTAGGGTAAATACTTTGTCAAACTTGGACATCAGTGCTACATAGTAATATATTCGTCAAAACATTTCTTGATGTGAGGCCATAATGTTACCCTGAAATGGTATTCATGCTATGCAGGTACTTTCCCACCCCAGCACCTGCAGCAGTTCCCGAGGTCAGCTCATCCACTCTGCAGGTTCGACGTTGAACATGAGAACGCATCTCCGCTATGTTTGGGCTCATTTGCCTTCCTGTTGTGTGTAGGCGTTCCAAGGTTGTTGTGTGGTTGTGTGGCACTTTGTTGAGCTGTCGCGTTTGTCGTTGGCACAGGCGAAGCGAAGCGCAGTGCGTAAGTGGGTTGGGTTTATGTGCAGGTTCCGTACATTGTGCCTCAGCGGGCAGCATGGAAGCGGTGCGCTCTTCACGTGTACATCGCGCACTTCATCGACTTGCAGCAGCAATTGAAGCAGCATCAAAGTTTCTTCGGTGGTCCGAACCAGGGGTACTCGAAGTCGTACAACTTGAACGTGGCGGTGGGTGGTTCGGACGCGGTGTTAGGAGGCGCAGTCGGTAGTCCGATGGTGGGCGGCGTTGGAGCGGGCGGCGCGGACGTGGATGCGACGGAGCGTGGGCTGAACGCCGCCGCAATGGCTGCAGCAGCAGCCGCGAGCATGCAGGGGGCGAAGGAGCGGGCGCACGGGGTGGGGGTGGCGGGGCGGAAATCGCCAGGTGGGGAGCAACACGGCGGGCAGCAGGCGGCGGGATTGTCAGTGCAGGTGGGAGTGGGCGGATTGCGATGGGAGGGAGTGATGGAGTGGGTGGGTGAAGTGGAGGGAGTGGAGGTGGGATGTGTTGGGTGAGGGTGTGGGTGTTGCGGTGGAGCGCGTGG